GTATGTAGATGGATTATTTCTGCTGCTGGCTGTGAGCGCAACTGGAGTACGTTCCAATGGTTGCACACTACTAGGAGGAATCGACTCGCTTCTGAGAAGCTCCATAAACTAGTCTACGTTAATTATAATTTAAACCTCAGAGAACGACAAATAAGAAGGAAGCTTGAAGACTATAGGCCTATAGACTTAGACACAATATTTGTCACAGACACAGCTGACCAATGGGTAGTAGAAGGAGAGGAGCCAGTGTTGCACAAGAGAGCGTTCCTTGAGGCTATCGGTGATGAAGATATTGAAGAAAGTGATGAGCAGCATGAAAGAGGAAGCAGCCAGCCAATGTATCCACAATATGTCGGTGATATTGCACCTAATGAGGGAGAGTGGGAAGGGGGTCTAAGAGAAAATGAGAGAGATGGTGATTCTGAGGCCACCCTATCCCAGCCATATTATTCACATATTGAGTCCCAACAGCAACAGTGTATGGATGAGCACGACAGTGCAGGTGAGCATGAAGGATGGACAAGCTTCGGGGATTTTGGATTGGGAACACAACAAAACACTAACACTCAGGGATTTGGGAATAGTCAGACGCCCGCTAATATCGATGATTCGTTTTTAGATCGAATCAATGAATTGTCAAACGAATTCAATCAATGGCACCAGCGTGACCAAGAAGAACAACAACGTCGTCTATCATTTTATTTTTAGATCGTATGTTACTAATTTTATGTTTTATTGTAGTCCATGTATGTTGATATACTTATTCCATGATAATTCTATGTTTATCCTTTTGTGTGATGTAAATTAAATGCTGAATGGCGGCGGTTCATGCAGGGAAAGAACATATCAATATTCGCATATTCATTCAAAAACATGAAAATTCTTAATGGAGTACCCTCATTTCTTATTGAATTCCTAAAAAACAATATTTATAATGAATTTTAATAATTTTTTCGGATTTTTTTGAAGCTTTATTCTGACCGATTCACCCGATTCCTGATCTGGATCGCCGATTCGCCGATTCGGATCGGTTTTTTGGGAGCCCGATCTTGGTCACCGATCCGTTTTTTAAACCATTGGAACAACCTTTTCTAGTGTTTTTTTTAGGTGCATGTTATTTCTATATTTTAGGATGACACCTTATATAAACTTTTTCTATTTTGATATATGTTAGAGATTAGTTCAAGGTTTGTCATCTGTAAAGCTTTAACTTACATGTGGTTTTTATTGGTGTATAATTTGAATTTAGATTCACTAATTTAACAAAAAATTATCTATCATAAATCATCAATATCGTCATCATCATCGAAGCTTTTTTCCAACTAATTAGGGTTAGCTATATGAATTATGATCCGTCATTCCGCTCTATTCAGGGTTATAGCCTCAATGAGGTCATATGTCACCATATGTTTTTTCACTACTTCTTACTATATCCTTTTGTGCTTACCCTTAGCCTTTTTAAAGCTCTTTTTTTTAGGTAATCTAATGGGGATAACGATCCCCTACTTTTTTTTTTAAATCGTCAGTGGTTTTTGAATACGTTAGGTGATAATGGAAGCCTGGACCTTAGCTAGGGTACAAGTGATGCTACCGCCACAACCCCAACTCTATTATAAAAAAATGGCAAGTCAGTGGAGATTTGGACCCTACCTTTTGGTAATAATGGAGTCAAAGACCTCATCATTAGGCTTGACAATACTACCACCAAATAACTTCTAACACGAGCATGAAATAAGGTCTTTATTTCCTTATTTCCCATTTATAGAGACTTTAGGTGATGCATTCATAATTGGCCGGTTTGTTTTAGTTGCCCGAGATTTCCGAGATTAGACAAAATAAATAGTGCTCAAAGATTTTATAGCCTCGTGGGGTATACTACACATTTATTCCCTCAGGTGAAACCAATCTAGGAGGACTTTTAGGTCCTCATATTAGAGATGTACTATCTGCAATCCGTATGCTAATTTCATTATCAATATCTGAGACTTATTTCAACTAATTGGGATCGGCTAACCTCATAAAAAAAAATCCCAAATAGCATTAATTGAAGAAATAATTTGTCAAGATTGAACATACACCACCTAATTTTGGAGGGTGAGCTGTAATTTTTCAAAACTCAAAATTCAACTGTTTCCATTTGAAAATAATCATTTAATGAATCTCAGGTCATTTTCAAAACTTAAGATTGAAAAAATCTTCCCAAATAATTCTTCTTACTGTGGGAGTAGATATACAATATGCTCCTATTTAAGCATAATATGCGTGCTCATAAATTATATCTACTAGCTACAGCCCAACCTGGCCCAACAGCCTTAACAATGTGGGGCTGAGCCTTAGCTAGGTCCCTGGCCTGGGCGGCCCAGCCCAGACCCGACCAAACCCGGTTCCAACCCTGTCCAAACTCATTAATTAGCAATCTGGGTTACTTAAAACTTCATAAATTCATAATCAAGCTGGACGGCAACGATATAATGTGCACAAAAGTATAGGACAATAGAGAGGGAGAGAGTTGTGTAACTATCCCCTCTTACTGCTTTAAAATCTTTCACAAAAGAAATAAAATTCTTTCTAAAACTCCAAGGTGCTCAGAGAGAGACTCATATGTGAGCACCACAAGCCTCCTCATAAGCCCGTGAGGGACTACCAAACAAGAAGCCCAAAAAAAAAAAAACAAACAACGACCAGGGGAGACACTCTCATTTCTCCACTTCCCCCAAAAACACCACCACCACCACCACCACCACCACCACCACCCCGTCACAGTGAGCATTCAGTCCTCCCAGTTTCTCTCTCTCTCTAGAGTTTCTTAGTAGAGCGATGAAGTGAAAAACCCAACCACTCCCCCCACTTTCTCTCTCTAGAATTTTCAAGGGAGGAATTGAAAGACCCCACCGAGGGAGCAGCACCCATGCCACTCCCCCCACTTTCTCTCTCTAGATTTTCTTGACAGAGGGAGTGAAAGAGTGCCACTTTCCCTCTCTAGAAACACTCCACCATTGAGCATAATGACTAAGCATTCACAGAGAAGGAGAAATCACTATCTGGGTGCCCTCTAGAGGACAAATGCCCTTCTCTCTCTGAGTCAAAAGAAGAGAAAATTTCCCCCTCATATTCTCTCTCATCGGCTTCTCTCTCCTTCAACTCCTCTATCCTCATAAAAGCCTCTCTCATGTCCCACCTCTTATCCACCTCAATCTCACAACAACCCAAACCAATTTGCAGAAGCTTCAGCATCTCTCCCTCTCCACTCTTGTACCCACCTATATCCCCATCAAAAACCTCACCAGTCCACTCTTCTCTCACTACTGAGTTAACCCAAGTGGGCAAATCTGTGCCCCCTTTGCCCTGCCTCAGGGCCTGAGCAGGGAATTTGCCTGTGAGGATCTCGAGGATCAGGATTCCGAGGGTCCAGACGTCGGATTTCTTCGTCGTTCGGTGGAGTTGGATGAATTCGGGCGATTTGTAGGCGACCATGGACTGTGAGGCGCACGGCTGGTTTATGAGGGGGCCGAGGGCGTAGTCGGAGAGCAAGGGCTCGTTAGAGAGAGAAAGGAGGACGTTGGAGGACTTGAGGTGGCCGTGGGGGAGGATGAAGTCGGGGAGTTCTTGGTAGAGGAAGGCAAGGCCTCTTGCTACTCCTTTGATGATCTTCAGCCTTGTTGGCCACTCCAGGGGAACCCTGCTTGGGCTCCTGTCCCCTGGAAGACACACACAGAAAATGGGTTTCTTAGGAGGCTGTTCAGTCGTTTCCATTTTTTTTTTTTTTTTTGATAATTTAATTCAGAGAGGCCCCCATTCGTTTTCGATGCACGACCAAATTGAGTACCAGGGGCTTTCCAATACCATTTGGTGTCTCATTTGCCTAAAACTATATGCGCCATCCTTGTAGCTTTTTTGGGTTTTTTTTTTTTTTTGTCCTTCAAAATTACCCTCATTTTCGACAATGAAAAGCTTTTATTTAGGCACTCACTAAAACTATCCGACATCTATATTGCCGGACAAGGGGGTCTTTTTTAAGTTTATTATGAGGGTCTTTTTTTAAGTTTATTATGTTTGTTATCTTGTTTTTCGAATTACCAAACAACTACTTAGGGTTTTTAATGCCCAGCAAGCCATTTCAAAACCATTTCACCGCATTTGCGCTATCTTTCCTCCTATCTTGCTCTTTTTTTTCTCCTTCTCTTGCTCTAATATCTTTGTGCAACCTTTGAGCCCAGCCCTCTCCGTAGAGAGAGGGTTGGCCTCAAAAGTCAGAGATATTAAGGAAAGAGGGCAAGAGAAGAGAAAAGAGTGAGTGTGGCGAAATGGTGGCTCACAGGGTGTTAGAAACCTCAAATTACTGTTTGATATTTCGAACATTGAATAGTAAACACAACAAACTTAAAAAGGACCCCCTATTCGACAATGCAGGTGCTAGACAACTCCGGTGAGTGCACAAATAAAATTTCCCTATCCAATGTTTGCATTGCTTGATAGGGAGCAACTTCGGAGAAAATAAAAAAAGAGGCTGTAGGGAGGAGAAGGGGTGCTCGTAATTTTGGACAAATGAGATACCAAATGATAATGTGTCTGAACGTGATTTGCTCTAGATGAGAGAGAGATGGGCATGTTTGTTTTTGTGTGTGTGAGAGAAAGAGGCAAAGAGAGAGAGAGAGATGGGTGCATGTTTGTTTTTGTGTGTGTGTGAGAGAAAGAGGCAAAGAGAGAGAGAGATGTGTGTATGGGAGATATGTGCGTGTGAGAGAGGGGGGTGTGTGGTGTGCGAGTGAGGAGTGTCTGTGAGAGAGAGATTGAGGCGTGTGTGTGTGTGTGAGAGAGAGAGAGAGAGAGAGAGAGAGAGAGGTAGGTTAGTCGACGACCACGTAGTAGGAGGTAACGGTACGACCACGTCCTACCGTAGTACGACAACTAACTACGTACGTACGA